ATTTGCTAAGCAAAGGCTGTTACACACAGATTGTTGTTAATGAGTTGATCGAAGTCAAGGTGTAACGTAGCCATAAGAAAGATCAATATTCAAGTCCTCACCACTTACTCCAGCTTATAGAATTTTGCAGTACACAAGGCAGCCATTTCACCCATTGTGTCTGTTAGGCTCTCGAATGAGCTACCCCGCTAGTCCTATTCTCCAAACTATCTCCGTAGCCCTCTAAATTCGTCACCTTCAAATCCAGCTCTCTTTTGAAGCCTCCTATGGAATGCACCTCCACCACACTCCCAGGCAGTGCATTCCAAATTCTAAAAACTCTGAGTGGAGACGTTTCTCCTCATCTCACTCCTAGCTCTCTTGCTGACAATCTTGAAATTGTGATCCCTGGTTACTGAAATACCAACAAATGGAAATGGAATATCCTTCTTTACCCTGTCAAAATGTTAAATAATAATGCTGAGACCCTGACGAGACATTCATTTTTGGTCAGTAAATGATTAAATCATCCCAAAAAAGACAAAGCTTACAAACTATACGTTAACACAAATAAAATAACAAAAATAAAAACTGGTCCTACCAAATTAAGAATGCTTTTCATTGTGCGTACTGAAGCTTGCAGGCTTAGGACCTAGGGTAAAATACAAGTTAATTATATAGATACTTAGTTATAACTAAATTTTTGCTATCTGTTCGTAGTTGATACAATAATAATGTAAATTGCTTAATTTAACCTAATACAAGTAAAAATCTTAAATATACAGTTTTCAATGTATATCAATGATTGTGACTGATCATTTAACAAAATGCAACTAAAATTGTCATTTATATATGTATTATATATTTAAACATCAGAAAGGTTTTACTCAAAGGGCTATTTTCGGAAAGCAATAACCATCATGTTCACATAACATCACAGAAATTTTGTAGCCACGACCTGTGAACAATAATGAGATGTAAACAAAGCACTGGGTGGCATTGGTTCAAATAAAATGTTGACTACAGTAACTGGAGAAGTGCAGGTATTTCTTCAAATTGTGCCCTTTACTGGTTTGATTTTTCCCTTCTATTTGAGTATTCTATTCTGGGAGGGCTGTCAATTGTCTGAAGGAGTGCAGCAACAATATTGCATGCAGAAATTGAAGCACATTAAAAAAAAGGCAATAGATCCAAGGAAGAACAAATCTTCCATCAGAAGCTCTGGTATTTCAAAGGCAAAATGACAAAAACTTAATGAAAAGTTGCAACAATTTATCATTTATTAAACCTCCAGAATCCAAGGGCTGAATTTCACTGAGATTTGGCTGTTGATTTCAGGGAGTTTCATGCAGGGTTTCTCTCCACAAGCTCTCTCTCATTTTAACAGTGATTACATCATTATGCACCACACCTCTATGGCACCACTTTCACACAATAAGGCACCCTGGGATTCACACCACGGTACTTAAAGCTCAGCTTTCCATCAAGTTGTTGGCCATGAATAGTCTTTCAAAGTCCACATAGTGGGCGGGAAACAATAAAACTTCCGAGGACACATAAAGCATCATTTCATTGCAAACAGAGTCGCACATTTATTAAGGTATTGCCATCTTATGCACCACCTGCCTAATTAACTGCCAGGGCAACTGTAACTACAAGAATCAAGTTACATAGGCAGCCCGTTTTTAATGCGAGACCATGTTAGAGCCCTGACTAAGGCCATGCCGCTCTTTTCCTAACACCTAGCATAGGACAACATCTCGTCCTTGTTCAGTACTGACTGGTCCACCCTCAACCAACTTGGAAAGACAGCCTCAACAAATCACTGACCAGACCCGATTGATCTCTGTGCAGCTCCCTGACTAACCTATCGCTAATTCCGTTTGTACTAGGCCTGCAGGATTGAGGCCACCTCCCTGGACCATTCCAAACAGCCAACTGATCAGGTCCAAGCTCCTTGACTGAGGTCAGATGCTGCACCTGACTGACTATGGCAGGACCCCTGAATAATGATAGTCCTCCCATTAACTTGAACAAGGATTACTTCCCTTACACTGTGAGATATGACCATTTGGCTGAAGCACATGCGATGTATTTGCCGCAACTGATGGCACGTGAGCAGGTGCAACAGTTTATGGCATAGTGCCAGAGGAATGTGTCCATCCCATTTATTGATCACTGGTTTTATGTTCTGAATGAGGTAGTAAAGTGCAGAAAGGTGAGGTAGTAAAGTGCAGAAAGGCAAGGCAACAGCAGAGATGTAGTGAGCGTTCAGGTAGGTGCAAAGAAAGCAAATGAAAAGCCCTGAGCTGCACCCTGTTCCGAATCATGGATGTCTCTCTCGGCAAGCAAAACTGTCTGGCAGCAACATTTTAATGAAAAGTGACAGTGCACCCCAAAGTCCAGCATCAAATTGGATAACTATTGCCAATGAGTTGGAGATGTGCCATGATCAAGTGGTGAAGTTGTTGCATGTGCAATGCTAACCTCCGTGGATGAAGATACATGTGGTTAGTGCTTAAGCAACATGCCCTGATATGTTGCGGACTGCTAGGTGATGGAAGTCTGGAGGAGCAAGCAGTGAGCTGGAGTTGCCATGTACCTGCTGACTTTCATATTGGGAATTGTCATAGTCCGTGTGGGAGAATTGTATTTAAACTGCATTTAAATTTGGTGGGAATAAATAATAATGAGATGTGAATGCATACAATGGGCCTCTCACCACTCACTAATATGATGCACAGACATTTCTTTCCTTGACTGCGAGAATCTCATTTTTCTGATCTTGCCATATTTTCCTAAATGCAGTACCATTTCTCATGTCATTCGGGACTAGGAAAATTCAGCACTTTGTAACGGCAAAAAGAAGTGTGAGAGACCAGGTGACTTGATAGGGAAGTGGAGGGTATAAAAAGGTGGCTACCTGACAAAGGAAAAGCATCACCTGACAGAACTAAATTTCAAAGTGCAGGACTGTTAAAAAGGAACATTCAGGTAATACAAAATTAAAAGGCTACCAATCAATGGTAGCAAATTTGAAAGAAAATAACCAGAGTAAAAAAGAACTAAAGGAAGAGCACTGAAGAAAAGCATAAATTCAGCATTGCTGAAAAGGACAAATTTTGTGAAACCTTTAATCTTGCATTCGTCAGGACTTTTCACAATGATACCAATTCAAGGGGAAAAATAAGCTGTATATCGCCTCAAGTGCAAGATGACAGAAGGCTACCATTCCTAAGAATTATATCTAATGTAAACTATTGTCCCAAAGTGAAGGGTGACACAGGTATCACTTGAAAGAAACTTTATAACAAATACACATCAGTATAGCTCAAAGGCAGAAAATCTAGAGATCCTGCTTGGGCAAAATTCTGACTGGAAGTAGGCAAGAGTACAATTCATGATGTCCCTTGACAAGGACAACAGAAGTGAATGCCTGGGGTAGTCAGTGCACAAACAACAGTGCCATACATCTATGGTACACAGTGCAGGAAATCTGTTGAGTGACCACTTCACTTGCCTGACTGATGAGGAGTCATGCACACACCAAAGAACCTATCATTGTGAAACATAATTAACATTAAGTCTTTTAAAATGATCTCCCATCAAACTGCTCAGAACCTCTTTTGTTGTTTACCAAGAACACCCATGAGGCAATTCTTTGCATTTCCATCATTTGATTATGCTCCATTATGCAATTTCAGATAGAATATATGGGCCCATGATAACACCCATTACTTACATTTCACATCAACCAGGTTGTCTAAACTGTGTCCCAAAGTAAGGCATATTCACCTTTATCTGCAGTTAATGGTGCATGAACATGGGTTGTTGACACAAGACAATCATTGAGCAGCTAAGCCTGCTACCACCCCTTTATTGCTGCTCCTCTTCTTGCAAACACTTTAGTTAGAGTGATTTCCACATTTAAATCCACAAATGCTGAACCTAATAGTTCATCCATAACTTGCACAAAGGATCACTAGAGCTAAAGCAGCATGTGGCAAACAAAGCGATGATCAGTTAGTAACGGGAGAAATACCACCACTGTGGCCTTTCCATGACCATTCTGCCACCTAAAAATCCTGAAATCTTTCATTGCACATGGACCTAATTTTTGTCTGAACAAAACGATGTGCAATTCAGCCCACTCCTAATCAATACTTTAAAATGGTTACATTTCAATTGATCTGCAGGAATCAAGATGGAAGATGAAGCAATGTAATAAAATAATGGATTTTCACCCTCTTTCACACTTCTAGAACCTGATGCAGCACCACAAAACAAGTGGGAGACCATGGTAAAGCTTTATATATTGTTAAGATATTTACAGCACAGAAGGAGGCCATTCAGCCTATTGCGTCCATGCCAGTTGCCATTCTTTTTGCCTTAGGCCATGTTTAAACACTTGTGGATGGCAGGCCCTGATCCACTCAATCTTGTCCATAGCTATGTCACATGCAGGTGCACAGCCATAAATTTTTCATTGATGCCAATCTCAATGTTGAATGGCCAAAACACTGATGGGGCAATTCTCATCAAATCAAGGGTAGGACATACCTGGAAGTTGATCCAACTTCAGTCCAACTTCAGAGGAAACCCGCACTGGAGACTTTAAAAAAGGGGATGAATAATTTGCTAACTAACAAAAACATGGGAATTTAGTCGTTTGTCTTTATTAATCATGTTTTATAGCTACATAAACGAGAATACAGTGATACTTCGCTTCAGTATTGCAATTTGAAATATTTGGTCAAGAAATATATTAATATTGAATTTTCAGAAATATATACTTTTCATTGTATAAATGACATGGTATGAAAAGAGATCAGTTTTCATTATAACTAGATGACATTTATCTCAAACACCAGTTTACCACATGGATGTTAGATTGTCTAAGCATGATTTAATGACACAGCTAATCAATAAACAAATGTTACCTTAACAAGATAAAGAATGTAACCAAGAATAAGAGCTGCTGCACCACAGGTGGTCCAGACGATAAACAGCAGGAAAATCATAACACATGAAATTCGAAAATTTAATTTCTTATATTCCTTTTGAATAACATGTGGCCTGCAAGATGGGAAAAATGAGATGCTTTAGAGCAGTGTGCAACTGTAAAAATGAAGTGTACTATTAAATTCTTATTTAGTACTTGGAATATTTACAATCACTTTGCTTCCTGAAGAGTAAGTTTTGCAATTAACAACCCTTTTTGAAATGCAAATAATTTCAACAAGTTATCTCTTGGTTTATTTTGTCCCAGTCTGTTACACAACAGAACATATTATTTTGCTCTGTATACTACAGCATTTGATAGAAATAATACAATTCAGTGGGAGAATAGAAATGTTCACAATTGATTTATGCATTGGCCAAATGAAATAAGCAAATCTTTGGTCTCATTTTGTCTCATGGTTTCTAAGGAGTCTGAAATTGAAGTGTTGCAACTAAAATCCATGTCAAAGTTACCTACTTATCTATGTATATAAACAACATCCTAAAAGTTGGAGTAATTAAATGTGGGAGAGATGTACTCTAATGCAAGCTCCAACATGAGACTCTAGTAAAAAAACGAAGTAGTTTGTGGTCTGTCCCTTGTTTTATTCCACTTTATTAACAGATTTATGGTTTGTTAAAATGTCCTTGAGTTTTACATAAGGTACATTACCAACAGTTGATAGTAATATATTAGGAAACCAACAATTCATTGCAGTCCATTTAACAACAGCAAAGGACTTCCCAAAACAACTCCATCCTTCAGTCATCCCACAAAACTAACAGCTTCATTCAGAAAGGAAAACACAGGCATGTTATGGGCATAGAAAGAATTGAAATCCTTTCGTCAATACCCAGATAGTGAAAAATTCCAGTATGACTCATTAATATATCATATTGATGGTCTATGCCTTTATCCTGTGTGATTCTTTAATTATTGCAGTAAACATGACAAATGCAAAGGTTCAAACCTCATTCACACAAGCTGAACAAAGCTGATCTGACCCATTACTGGTGTAATTCACAGAGCACTGTTCACAAAAATGCACCTTACCTTCACCCCGCTGGTCTCCATTTGTTTTTTTTTCCTCTTTCTCTCCATATGCTGCTTTTATTGTTATACTTTTACTATACTATCATCCCTTTACTTTTTTTTAATCTGCCATTGTCAACTCTTGCCCATTTGTCTATTTACAATGAAGAATATAAGAAGCAGGAGCAAGGGCAGACCATAGGGGCCATCAAGCCTGCCCTGTCATTCTGTAAGATTATGGGTAACCTTCTGCCTCAACTCCACCTTTCTACCTGCTCCCCATATCCCTTCATTCCCCGGATGGCCAAGGGCTGGATGGTCGATTGCCAGTCAGGATGAAAGAGTAATGTAGACAAGAGTGGAAATCTCCATTCCTGACAGTCAGCTTGGGTCCTGCCTTCCCTGGGCCAGTTTTCAATTTTCGGGGAATGGGAAGCACACTCAACGACAATTGATGGTCCCTTAAGATAAATAAAGAGATTGTTTAGGGGCTTCCCCATGACAGAATGGAACAGTCTTGAGCAGGTTTTGTGCACAACCAACAGGTTCATCATGCAGACCCGGTAATAGCTTTGAAGAACTTCTTAAGTTTAGTCTGTGGGTCAAATGACTGCTGGCATGAGCATGCTCCTACCCTGCTCATCCATGGTTGTTTTGCACTATGTTCCATCTTGATGAGATACCTGCTTTAATGGACAAGGAAGCAACTGTTCCTAATCTGACTGCCATGTGCCCTTGCATTTCCTGTCTCTTCTTCTATGGCAGGCAGTTCTCACCACATTTAAGTGCTTGGCATCTCTAATAGGGTGTCATGTTCATGCTCCATTAGGGCACTTGCATGTAAAAATAATGTCACAACACAACTCTATTCAGATGTAGGTTTATTATCAAGAATTCATTGGGGAGGGTTTGCAGCTTCAGAACCAAAAACCTGACTGTATCATTCTAAATATGCTTAACAGTGGGACATCCACAAGCCTCTGGGGAAGAGGATTCCAAAGATCCGCAATACTTTTGAAGAAGTTTCTCCTCATCTCAATGTTAAGTAATCAACCTCTTAAACTAATACTCTGCCCAGTGTTCTAGATTCCTGAGCCAGGAGAATCAATATTATAGTGTCTACCCCATCAAGACCCCTTCAGAATCTTGCATGCTTCAATGAAATAATTTCTCATAGATTGAAACTATAAGAAGGTCCAATCTACTCAGCCTATCATCACAGGACAATTCTCTCATCTCAGGAACCAACTCAGGGAACCTTTGCTGTACGGCCTCCGATGCAACATGCTTCCTTAAACATGGAGACCAAAAATCCCAGGTGTGGGTTCACCAAAACCTTGTACAATTTAGCAAGACTTCTTTATTACTGAACTCCAATTACCCTGTAATAAAGAATAAAGGTCAACATGCCATCTAGCTTTTCATTTGTTTGCTGTAGGTGCATGCTAACTTTGTGTTGCTTAAATTGAGTGCACCCAAGTCTCTCTGAACATCAATATTTCATAAAAATAAATTTGCTTTTCTGTTCTTCCCACGAAACGAATAATCTCACATTTCTGAAATTAAACCCCACCTGCCACCTTGTTGCTCATTCACTTAATCTCTGTACATGTTGCAGCTTCTTTTTAACCTTTTGATAGCTTATATTCCCACCTAATTTTGCATTATCAGCAAACATAGATACATTACTTTTGGTCTCTTTGACTAGATTATTAATGCAGATAGCTAGGTTTCTCTTCCACTTTTTCTCTGCTGATATTTATTATGTTATGTTCTTTAGTTTTGTGCAGTTTGTATCTTTGCCTGTGAAGACATACACAAAATATTTGTTCATTCATGTCTCTGCTATTTCCTGGTCCCTATAATAATTTCTCTTGGCTCTGTCACAAAGTGATCACCTTATTTTAGATAACAAAGTGTAGAGCTGGATGAACACAGCAGGCCAAGCAGTATCAGAGGAGCAGGAAAGCTGACATTTCAGGTCTGGACCCTTCTTCAGAAATGGGGGAGGGGAAGGGGATTCTGAAATAAATAGAGAGAGAAGGGGAGGTGGATAGAAGATGGATAAAGGAGCAGATAGGTGGAGAGGAGACGGACAGGTCAAGGAGGCAGGGATGAGGCTGGTGGGTAGGAGGTGGCGATGAGGGTTGAGGTGGGAGGAGCGGATAGGTGGGAGGAAGGACGAACAGGTTAGAGAGGCGGGGGACGAGATGGGCTGGTTTTGGGATGATGTCAGGGGCAGGGAGATTTTGAAGCTTACCTACCCCCATCCTAACTCCCCACCTACACTCACCTTTACTGGCTCCATCCCCGCCTCCTTGACCTGTCCGTCTCCTCTCCATCTATCTGCTCCTTTATCCATCTTCCATCCGCCTCCCCCCCACTCTCTATTTATTTCAGAATCCCCTTGCCCTCCCCCATTTCTGAAGAAGGGTCCAGACCCGAAACGTCAGCTTTCCTGCTCTCTGATGCTGCTTGGCCTACTGTGTTCATCCAGCTCTACACCTTGTTATCTCAGATTCTCCAGCATCGGCAGTTCTTACTGTCTCTGAACCTTATTTTAGACACTTTCCTCTTTATACACTTGTGAAACTTCTTACAATCTGTGAAATATTTCTTAATGGCTAGTTAAACCTCTTATTTATTTTGCATATTTATCAAATTTTGTTGTCCTTTTACTACTTTCTAAAGCACTCCCAATCTGTAGGTTTAATATTATCCATTGGAACATTATAATTTTTAAATTTAGTACTATCTTTAACTTCCCTAGCAAGCCACAGATGGAGTGTTCTTGCTGAGTATTTATGTATTTTCTTGAATATTTTGAATTTATTCTTTAAACATTTCCCGCTGCTCATTCACACAGGTTTTAGTTTATTTGTCGAATGACCAGCTTTCCCGTTATACCTGTGTAATTGGCTCTAAATTTAAGACTCTTATCAGAGACTGGAGTCCCTTTAAAACTTAACATGGAATTCAAATGTATTATGATCACTTTTTCCCTCAGAGGTCCTTTAACACAAGTTTACTACTTAACCTGCCTCATTACACAATACCAAGTCCAATACAGCTTATCCCTGGTTGGTTCCACAATATATTGCACCAGGAAAATATCATGAAAATCTTCTAGAAATTTACCCTCCAGACTACCTTTGCCAATTTGATTTTTCCAATCTATATGAAGATTAAGGTGCTTCAGGAATCAACCACAGTTGTCTTTTCTTCCCATGTGTCTTTCAAACCCTTAAAAAATTATAGTGGTAGTATCCCTACAATGCAGAAAGTTGCCATTAGGCCTATTCAGTTTGCACCGGCCATCCAAACAGCATCCCACCCAGACCCAGCCCTCCACCCTATCCCTGTAACAACTACACATCCCTGAGCAATATGGGCAATTTAGCATGGTCAATCCACCTAGCCTGCACATCTTTAGACTGTGGAAGGAATCCAGAGCACCCTGAGGAAATCCATGCAGACTCGAGGAGAATGTGCAAACTCCACACAGTCATCCAAGACTGGAATCGAACCTAGGTCCCTGGTGCAGTGGCGGGACAGTGCTAACCACTGAGGCACCATGCCACCCTTCAATGGATGTCTTTCTTTATTGGTGTGTAGTGCAATACAGGAGGACATTCAGCCTGCTTAGCCTGGGCCAGCTCTTTGAAAGATCCAGTGAGACTCATGCCCCTCCGCTTGAGCTTGCAAGAGAGCAATGAGGAGCTGAGAAGAAAAGGGCAATGTAGGGTTAAGACCACAGAGGCACAATAGCTTTGCCACTCTGTGTCAAGATGAGCTAAATTTGATAAGCGTCTTGGAGATTCCTTGGCTCTATGTGCTGTCGCTGTGCAAATATGTTTAATGTCACTAAGTGCTTAGTACTGACATTCAGCTAGGAGCCATAATTACAGCTGCAAATATAGATAACTGCATCTAAAAGATTTTTAACAGTTCATTTTTAATGGCAGTACTACAAAACTGAATGATTGTATCATGAATATGGGTTGATTTTAATGCAAAGCTCAGCTGTACCGACAACTAGTAAGAAAGAACTTGCATTTGTATAGCATCTTTCATCAATTCATGGCAGCCCAATTCACTTGACAGACAAGGTAGTATTTTTCAAGTGGAGTTACTGTTGGAATGCAGGAGACTCAATGGTTAATTTGTTCATAGCAAGATCCTACAAACAGCAGAATCATTACAACCAAATCATCTGTTTCTAGGTGTTGAGTAGGCCAATGTATAGGTGTCACTGGACGCCTCAAAGGATGGAAGTCTTGTTTTGAATACTCTGTTCCTGCCCACTGCAAGTGCTTGCTATGGCACTGAGACACTCCTACAGTGTGTTCAGGATGCACTTCAAGGAACACAGTATTAATGTTAAGATTTGATCAATTATCAAAGTCAAGGAGAATCGAGAAGCCATCCTCCCAGCATATGAAGAACAATTTCTCACTCCTTCTCAATAGTGAACAAATGCTGCACTTAATGCTGTGCTAGTTTTAAATAAACTGATGGTCATGTACGAGGAGCTACAGATAAGAGTTTCCCCCTCGGTCTTCACCCAGTGCACACATTCAGTTGTTAGAGAGCTTACCTTTGAAAGATTGACCACAAGAAGGAAAGCTGTTTAAGTAATACTCGCAAGAATATTCCATTCCAATAGGCAATAGCTGTTCCAAATAAGAAAAGGACAATAGATATCATTGGGTTGGCGATTCCTTGCTCATTTAAAGGATGGATGTCAATCTCAGGCAACATGAGAATAGACCATGTCTCCTTAAACCAGTCATATCTGTAAGGAAGACATACTCTCAGTTAGTAAGTAGAAAAAAAAATGCTAGAAGTAGGGAATTTAGGAAAAAAGGGTACAAAACAATATTAAGATATTTTCATTAACTTAAAAACCAAATTTCAAATGCTTACCTTAAAAGAAAAACTGCCAGATTTACAAATGGAACAACTTTATAGGGCTTTGATGCAGCATTTAAGGCAACATTGAAGTCCAAACAGTGACCTACAAACAACATAATTATATTCTAAAAAAATGCAGAATAACACAGAAATCTAAAAGCTACTCCCAGTAATTCTATGCTTCTCTAATAGATGCTTATTAAAGCCAGCTCAGAGTGAAACTCATGAATAGTGAATTGACATAAATCTCAAGTTTTATGCTGTTAGCCTAGCTGTAAAAGCCCATGAAAAGATTACAACTTGTTGTCTAAGGTGTAATCAAATTTTTAGCAGTGTACAAATTACATCATTACTTCTTAACATTCTCACCAGCCAAATAAAATTCTAGTTTTGGGTATGCGAAATGTCACATTTCTCCATAATGAAAATAACTCCACATACTTGGAAAATAGCTTTTTAAAATTGAAGTTTATCATATTTTAGCCTCTACTACAACCATAATCATTTATTTTGCTGTCTGAAAATTTAAATTTAAATGTGAAGAAGAATCAGTGCTTTTAATTTTCTGGCTTACTATCTGTGAAAATACTTAAATAACTTTGGTTGCTTACCTTGCATGCTGACATTATTTCTGCCAGATGTCTGGAAATCCCTTTTACTTTGATGTCAGATTTAAACTGTCACTTAGAAAGAGGAAATACTTGCCAGATGTCACTAGATTTTTGTAGGCAGCTTTCTTCAAGGTACGTGGCAAATGCCATTGTCACAACCTCCAGCCCATTATTAAACAAAGGCAAGTAATTCAAATATTGCCATGTTATTATAAGCATGGCATTACATAGAATATACATCAGACCAGTCAGTCAAAACTAGCATTAATGCCCCACTCGAGCCTATATTTTTCACGATTTTCCCATCTCTTAGCCTCACATTTGACACAGGACTTATCAAAAGCCATATTACTGTCAGTTTGGTTGTCCACTAGGACACTGATTCTCAGCTCTTTGCATCTTCTGTGCAACCAACCACTTTGTCAAAAAACCCTAGTCCCACCATGATAAAAACAACACACTATTTTTCCAAGGTGTGTGCTTTTACGTTTACAAGCAGTTTAGCATTATATTAATCATGAATGGAAATTTGTAGGGCATTAAAAATTGCAATGATTTTCATGAGAATACGTTTTATTGCTAAATTGTTTAAAAAGTAATGATTTAATTATTAGTGAGAAGCACGTGGTTACATTTCATTGGTAAGCTTGTCAATCTTGGGGATCCCATGTAGATGACCTTCGTGTCCCACTGATGGAGAAACACTATGAGACACTATTTAGGTGGTATAAACACTATTTCTCCTACCTGAACTGAAAAGGTTCTGCCTTCCTATAGCCATACTGAGCTAACCAGTCAAGCAATGAAAAAGCAACCCAGAATAGGAAGGACTAATAAAAATATAAATGAAAGTCTTCACCTTCTGGCTGAAAGAGGATGAACCATATCTTAAAAGATAATGCAGCTCGGATATAAGAGTCCTGCACAACTGACAAATTTGTGTCATAACTGCACTTTTAAAAAACGTATACTTTACCTTCAAGTATTCCTCTTTCAACCCTCATGCACTCTTTTGTCCACTAAAGAGGCAGATTTCCTGTTCACTATGTTTTTAGAAAGCAGGGCTGCTTAGGTCTTGGGTTTCTAGACAGTTATTCGGAACTAGGTGTGCCAAACAGAGTTGCTTACATGGACTTGAGTCCCAGTATTCTGTTTCAGAATTAAGCAATTTATTGCTAAAGTGAACAGGATATACTCTCTATCGTTTTCTGCTCCTCTGCTCCAAGTACACTGCCCTCTCATACAACAGCAAAATACTGCAGAGAATGTGTGTTTCTCTGTGTATGTCTCTCTCTCGTTCTCCCCCCCGCAGTGTCTCTCTCCCTCAGCATAAATATCACCTTTTCCTAGCTGCTATCAGTTCTCATAGTGTCACCAGACTCGAAACATTAACTCTGTTTTCTCCCCACAGATGCTGCTAGACTTGCTGATTTTCTCCAGCAATTTCTGTTTTTATTACTTAATAGGTATTTATTTGTTTTTTACCTTCAGAGTAAAGATGGATTAATTGTCTTCCAAATGCTAATAGAGTGTTCACAACAACATACATAGGCAGGTGTATACCATGGAATCTGATCAGCTGGGAAAAGAAAGTAACAATTCACTTAATATGCTTGTTCAAAAGTATATCTGAGCACAGAAGCCACAGGTGAGCAATTAACAAGTGCAAAATGAACAGACACATTGCCCTTACATACACAGCTTTACTAAATGGCTAAATAATCACATATCCAGATAACCAGAACATGGCCGGTTAGATACTTGTTTGTTATGTTTAAGGTTCGACTCACCACAATCTGTATTTAGAAAATACCTAACAAAATAAAACACCCCACGGTGCTTTCATGGGAGAAGAATAAATTAAACTTTGACATTGAGACACATAAGGCAATATGACAGCACTTGACCAAAAAACATTGTGAAAGAGACAGGTTTTAAAGAACATCTTAAAGGAAGAAAGAAGGGTAGAGATTTGGACAAGCTTAGACAGCAAGTTTAAGGGTTTGGAGCCCATGCAGTTGAAGATATGGCCACCAATTGTGAAACAATTTAAACTGTATGGCCAAAATTAGATGTATGTATATTCATCCTGTACAGTCATGGGGCTGGAGGAGTCCATAGACATGGATTTAAAAGCAAAAGTAAGGAGGTTTCAAAATTTAGTCGTAACAATATCTAAAGCTTGTGCAGGATAGCGACACACTGAGTTGGTTAGAATAGTATTCACTGCAGATTAGAAGAGTTAGGGGCAAGGGGGGACTCACATAGAAACCTCTAAAATTATATCACAGGATTGTACAGATTAGATGCAGGAAGGATATCCCCACTGGTGGGCTATTCCAGAACCAGGGGTCATAGTTTAAGGTAAACAGGTAAACGTTTTAGGATTGGGATGGGGAAAATTTCTTCACCAAGAGAGTGGTGATCCTGCGGAATTCAATTGAGCTTGATGATCAGCGTGATCATAATGAATGGTGGAACAAGTTCGAGACGATGAATGGCCAATGACAAAAAAAAGTGGAAGAACTGCGGATGCTGTAAATCAGAAACAAAAACAGAACTTGCTAAAAAGCTCAGATAACAAGGTGTAGAGCTGGATGAACACAGCAGGCCAAGCAGCATCAGAGGAGCAGGAAGGCTGACGTTTCAGGCCTAGACCGTTCTTCTAAAAAGCTCAGCAGGTCTGGCAGCATTTGTGGAGAGAAATCAGAGTTAACATTATGGGTCAAGTCACCCTTCCATTCTGAGCCTTTTGAGCAATTTCTGTTTTGTGACACAAAAAAAAATGATTGGAGTAGCTAGGTCACATAAAATGGAAAGATTAAGAAGGTGGCTTTGAATATGGGTTAAGGAGTTTAAATAGAGGGAGACACTCAGGGAGAGGACTGTGAATGCAGAACAGAGAGCTTGATGAGTTGAGATGTAGATTGATGTCTTTGTGGATGAGATGTTGCATTGTGTAGTGGCTGATGGAGGAAAGCAGCCAAGTACCAAATGTACATATCAACAAGGATTTTGAAAGCTGTCAAACACTTTATCCCAATAAGCTCGTTGTCTCCAAATAAATCTCAAGAAGATTGATGATCAAGCCTTAATATAGATTAAATGCTAACAGAATGTTCACAGCAATCATGCAGATACTTGATAGATAATTGTAACGATTGTAAAACCATTTGTTTCCAAAAAAAACATCTTTTTCAGTGACTTAGTAAAACATAATTCATGACAATGTTAGATATTTTCTTATTGCAGCATTTCAATATATATCCAAAATTAGACAATCCATCTTCCATGCATTTAAAAATAAGTGCAAAGAGCAAAAAAAAATGTAATTGGCAATAAAAATAAGTTCACAAAACTTTGCTGCAAAGAGCAAAAAACTAAGAAATTAAGTCATGCATTTTTTGAAATAGAACACCACAGAAAAAAAGATGTCAAAGCTGTCAGTCTTGCACTTATAAGCACAGATGCAAGAATGTCAAGATTCAAACTATCAGAATTTATATGACAGGAGAAAAGACTGCTGATTGGTTGGCATGTCAACTCTGACTGGCTGAGACATTACCATGAAGAAAACACAAAACTATGGTCAGCCCCGCAAGTTGCTGGGTAACTCAAAACAGACAAAAAACTTGAACAGAGATAGTA